AACGTCATCAAAGGGACCTAAAAATAGTGTCGTTATAAACGAATGTCGTTGTAACCGAAATGGGCACTTCCACAGTAGCCTTATGTTAGTCACGTAAAAATCTACTAAAAACCGAGTTAAAATGTTGCATTTTTTAGTGAAATACATAGTTAAGTACAGACTAACGTAACATTAACGTGGAATTGCCCAAATGTGTAATATCAAAGACATATTACAGCGCTTTTCACTGACAATACACACAATATTTCACGAATCACTTTAACTTTCTCTTCAATGCGTGAAACTTTCCTTTTCATTGAAGAAAGCAGTCTTCTGGGATTTGGCACCGTGTATATGTGGTGTTAACCGACGTTTCGGAGGAACGTATCGCCTCCATCTTCAGACACACTCTGCTTTTACCGGTTTTCACGGTCTCTTCGCTTTGCAGATTTCTTATATTTTTTTCTACCCTGAAGATGGAGGCGATGCGTTCCTCCGAAACGTCGGTTAACACCACATATACACGTGCAAAATCCCAGAAGACTGCTTTCTTCATAGTCACCGCCGTGAAAGCCCCAAATCTTTCCTTTTCATTGCCATGTCTTCGCCACTGCACTTCTCTGGGTTTAGGCAGGAACACTATAGGATAAGTAGACAATGTGAGGTCCTGTTAGACGAGATTCTAGGAAAGGAATGCAGTTAAGAACCTGCCGCGTCCTCTTGCACTATTCACGCAGTCCCACCCCACACCCTTGTTTTCTCATAAAACCCACGCTCCTCTTGCAGCCCGCGGTCGTATTCTTCCAGGACAGTCACGTCAGCAAGTAGAGAAAGTGAGGGTGGGCAGGCTCATCGAACTTTCCCACGATATCGGAGAAATTCAGGAATGAAAATGACGTTACATACGAGGTTCATGCATTTGTGCATGTCGTACTAAGCAAGGTATAAAAACAGTTGCTTTATGAGGAATTAGTTCGTACCATTGAATATTTGACGCAATAGACGAGGTGTCGCAGAAACCGATGTTGCTATAACCAAGTTTTACTGTATATATATTAACATGTTTAACATGTAAAATGTAAATATCCTTTACATTATGACAAATGACTTACTACTGCAGACAATGACTCTGACAAAGACAGACCCGTCCTCTCGTCAGAGAGGACGCCCCACAAAAACAAGACCAAAAATATCAAACAGTAATAAATATCTGATCATAAGTACCAGGCTTGGCTCGACACCAAGACTGACTGTCAGTCGCAATGTGACTTTGATTTTGGTTTAGAACCGAGGCAGATTTTTCAGACTTCCATATATATATGATTATATAACAAAATTGTGCAGGAAACAAACGGAAGTCATACAGAATCACGAAAATGCAAATGTTCGCAACATCGGACAAGGCGAAGCCCGACATAGAAAGTATAAGAGGCTTAAACTTGGCTGCGGTCAAGCATATGACCGTTCAAGTGACTAGACTGCTGTTGAAACAGAAGTTACTGAAGATAAGGCATGATCTGCTGTTCTGAGCCTGTGACCTTGGACTGACAGAGGCCTTATATATGTTTTATGTACTCGTGTATACTGCAATAACATGTAAAATTTAATCTGTACGTAAGCGGCCTCCATAGTCTAGGGGTAACGTTCCCACCTCATGACACAAGGTACCCGGCGGAGGTCGTGGAATTTTTAAGGGCGGAAAAATTCAGGGAAAAAGTCCTCCGGGAGGGACTCTAAGCCGTGGGTCCCGTGTCGTAGATTTACGGCACGTAAAAGAACCTCATGTCTCTAGGAGACCTCTGAGCTAAATTAGGCCAAAAAGTTTCCCGCCCAAGTAGTTTCCAATGCCTCCGGTAGATGGGGAAGTATTAGGTACCACTGCCAGAAGAGGGACGACCTCGCTGACAGAAAGGGACTATTAGATACCACTGCCAAGTAGAGGGTAGAAACCTCGCTGGCAGAAAGGGGCTGATAGCGAGCACCAGTACCGGTAGGGGATGGAGACAGTAGAAATTAAAAGGGGGACGTACAATAGACTATCAGTCGCGGTGCATGGGGAAACCCACCCCCTCAATACCGAATAACTGAATAAACTGTACGTACTGGCAACAGACTTACACTGCTGACTCTGCCTCTGGAAAATGACAGACCCGTCCTCTCGTCGGAGAGAACGCCCCACATCAGCAAACCTGAAATTGTCTGACAATAATAACGATCAGTTCTTAAGCTTCAGATGGGTGCATTAGTCCAAGAGAGACTGACCGACTGGCCATCGGTCGTAATATAAGTTGGATTTGACTTTAACCGAGGCAGTCACAGGATTAGTTCAAGGCAGTTACGAGTCAGTCTTAAGCTGGAGGAGTGAGTCCAGAAGAATTTTTATTTCCGAGGTTCCAGAAATATGAACACTAAATAGCAAGAAGACTCCTTAGTGATTTAAAGCGATAGTTTCTGTGTTGAGATCCGTTGCCAGGAGACGACTAGTGAAGACGGATAATCCTAGTGCGTGTGCAGCGGTGAACTGGAAATTGTGTAAATCAGCGATAACGCTGTATTTAAGTGTGATTAAGAGAACTTGTAATCAAGATGCTAATAAATCCCATCATCCGAACGAAAACCCTTTATTTTCGTCACGCGTACCACCTTACACGTGAAAATACTGCAAGTACTGATCGTGAATAGGTCTTTAAATAGAGGGTAGTACTCTAGATCATGTCTGTCCAACTTCGAACCACGGAGATGTCGCATGTATCTTTCATGCATGCCGGCAAGACACATAAAATATTTTGCGGTGTATAAACATCTGCCCCATAGTTACCAGATCTAAACATGATGCATAAGCATACGAATAAAACTTGGATCCTTAAAGTAAAAGAATAACCGACCACGGTGGCTGTACTGTCTAAGGCACTGTCTTTGGTTCGAATCCCACTCGAGGCATGGATATCTGTCGGTGTTTATTCTCTGTTTGTGTTGTTCTTTGTACGTAGCATCCGTGCTGCAGGCCGATCACCCGTTCATAAGATTCGTAACTTCAGAATTAATTCCGAACGGGAACATACCACAGAGCCTAACGCGTCAAGTTAGAAGAAGACGAAGAAGAAGAAGAAGAAGAAGACGAAAAATACGAAGAAGAAGAAGAAGAAGAAGAAGAAACTTATTTGAATTACATTTTGCCAGGTTGACGGTGTTAAAAAGTCAGCGACAGAGGGCTGGCTAGATCATTGCACATCATAAGATCACATTAATTTCTTACGTTTCTAGGGTATATGTGTCGTGCGAAATCAGCTTAAAATCATGCGGATTATATAGTGACACTTTTTCCTAAAGTTATTTGGACAGAATTATTCATTGCCGTCCAATAATTCGGCGCTTAGAATGTGAGTTCCTGACAACATTCATTTAAGTTACGAAACGAAATGGCATACATGCTGCGCAGGTAGCACGTTTCATCCTCGTAGAGTTAAACATTTTACTATAATATGAAGTGGTCTACGCCGATGATGTGAATCTACTGGGTGATAATGTAGATACCATAAAGAGAAACACACAGACTTTAATTGACGCAGGTAGGGAGGTTGGTCTAGAAGTAAACACAGAAAAAACTAAGTACATGTTGCTGTCTCGTCACCAAAATGCAGGGCAAAATCATGACATACTCGTAAAGATAACAAACAGATGTTTTGAAAATGTGGCACAGTTCAGATATTTGGGAACGACGATAAGAAATCAAAACCTGGTTCAGGAGGAAATTAAGAGGCGATTGAACTCGGGCAGTGCTTGCTACCATTCAGTCCAGGACCCTTTTGTCTTCTCGTCTGTTGTCCAGAAACATAAAAATCAGAATATACAAAACTGTAATTTTGCCTGTGGTTCTGTATGGCTGTGAAACTTTGTCTTTGACATTAAGGGAGGAACATAGACTGAGGGTGTTTGAGAACAGGGTGTTGAGGAGAATATTTGGACCGAAGAGAGATGAAGTGACTGGAGGTTGGAAAAAACTGCATAATGAGGAGATTCATAACTTGTACTCTTCTCCCAGTATAATTAGAATGATCAAGTCAAGGAGGATGAGGTGGGCAGGTGATGTAGCACGAATGGGGGAGACGAGGAACACGTATAGGATATTGATGGGGAAGCCAGAAGGAAAGAGACCACTGTGAAGACCAAGGCGTAGGTGGGTGGACAATATTAGAATGAATCTTAGAGGGATAAAATGGGATGGTATGGATTGGATTTATCTGGCTCAGAATAGGGATCAGTGGAGAGCTCTTAATGAACATCGTAGTGAATCCTCGGGTTCCATAAAGTGCTGGGAACTTCTTGAGTAGCTGCACAATTTGCGAGTTCCCAAGAAGGTCTCCGCTCCATGAGTGAGTGATGAGTGTTGAAGTGAAACATGGGAACCAGGAAATTTCTCTTTTTTAAATTTTCTTCCTCCCCTTTTTTCGTTCTCTGTTTTAAAATTTAAATAACCTAAATTTCGTGATTAACGATGTTTTTTACTTTGTATATCGTTGTACAATCTAAAGAACACAACGCTTCGAAAAGTTTATTTGCTTCCGTCCTCAGGTGAGGAGGTGGGAGACAGCTACTCGGTTGGATCCAGTTTCCGAAGCGTTCTATTCTTATTATTCTTTAGACTACCGGACGATAGATAAGTCCAAAAATCCATTAATCCCGATTGCCACGCACCATCATCGGAATCCTTCATAATCAGCTTCAACCTCCATTGTTACTTCAGCGTGTGGAGAAGAAATTTCGCAATTATATGTAACAATAGGTGAAATTATACTGCTTCAGTGGTTTCAAGATTATTCTCTTCTGGGTTGTGACCCCATATCTACCAGAGCACACGGTGTCGCATTCCATAAGGCATTGCGAACTTCTGAATCTCACTTCCATGGCTTCTTTCTGTTGGACTGACCACAGATGAGGTATCCAGAGCCTATACAATAGAAGCGGTCCCTTTCGCGCTTGAAACATTTAAAGTGTTCAAACTAATTAACTTATTGTTTCAGAAGAACCGTTCACCATCTTCGCACCCGTCAATCGTGATGGACCTCTGAAGGACGCACAGAGTCTGCTGGCTCAGCCGGACCTGGTTAAGAGGCTGCTAATGGATCACATCGTGCTGGGCCTTAAACTGAACCTCAACCTTACTGGAGACTTTACCATCACGACCCTAGGAGGTCGTACTGTCAATGTGCGTAGGGTCAACGGTAAGTGACCAGCACGACGAAGGGCAGGGGGGGGGGGTCCAAACAAATTTGGCCTGTAACAGACTTGGGCCTGAGAGCCGGGAGAGAGTAAAATATGGTCATGATCCCCGCAGGGACCGAAACCATGAATGACTGTGCTAGCAAGGACCAGCAGCAATTTACCACACAGACAAGCAGACATGGTGGACATAAGGAAATCTTTAGTCGGAAAACATGAAAGGAAAAAAGAAGCTGGTAGAATTAGGTATAGATGAGAGGATAATGACCGCCTCTGTGGTCTAGTGGTCAGAGTTCCTGGCTGCAGATCCAGAGGTTTCGGGTTCGATTCCCGGCGCTGCCAGATTTTCTGAGAAGTAATGTGTCTGGAACGGGGTCCACTCAGCCTCGTGGGGATAATTGAGGAGCTATTCGAGATTAATGGCCGTGGTGATCCGTTGCGCCGACCACGCAACACCCTCCATCCGCTAAAAGTTGGCATTAACTTCGCCGACAAGCGAAGGTCGCTCGGTCGGTATACGAGTAGTTTGCTTGCGGACTAGAACCACGGAGTTTGTTTTTTTGTTTGAGAGGATAATATTGGAAGGAATGTTAAAGAAGTGCGGTTTGAAAGGTTGGATTGGACTCAGCTGGTTCAGGATATAACCCCATTTGTGAGCTTTTGTGAACTTGGCATAATAAAGAACAAAAAATTCCATGACCATATGAAGGATTAGTGGGTGTTTTAATTCACTTGTTCATAAATTTAATATTTAGACCTACAAATTTAATATAATAAATAACAAAACTGGTTGCATTCTGCTTCATGAAAAATTGTTAACGAGTTCATGCTGTATATTCGCGCTCCCAAATATCTACTGCAGCTAAGTCCCTTATATCTTGGTCTGCTTAAGGTAAAAGCGTAGTGCTGTTAATTTCAAGACATGTTCAAGGGACGTCACAGTTGCTGACCTGATATATCCCATTGTATATTTTACACGTTTCTGGTAGGCTATGTGGCAAATAAGCTTACGATGTAGATTTTTAAAAATTTTCATATAATTTATATTCACTTAGCTCTATCGGTATAGCGGCAGGCTATGGGGGTTCGATTCCCGTCAGGGGAAAGAGGTTTCTCTCTTAACCACATAATCCAGACCAGCTCTGAGGCCCACCCACTCTCCTCTCCAATGTGTACTGAGGGCTTTTTCCCCACGAGAACAGCGGCAGAGGCGTGAAACTGACCACCCATCTCCATCTAGGGCTGAGGTCAGGAATGGTGGAACGGTGCCTGCAACCCACATACTTCGTGGCTTGGTGTTTATTTAATTAAGTACAGGGAGATCTTTACTTTTAAAAATATTCATATGTTGAAAAGACGTACAACTGACACAATGCAGAACAGACACCACAGTTAGTAAACTAGTTGAAGAGAAAGAAAATTACGCTGAAGGAACATGTTATCTGGGAGATGACGGAGAAAACACAGATTCTACATGAAACAAGAAATATGATACATGCCATAATATAAAATATACAAGGGCTTTTAAGTAAAGGTAAAAAAAATAAAACTATACTTGAGTTTAATTAATTAAGCATCACGCCATAAAGGCTAAAGGGGAGTGGAAATATACAACCCACCATGCTTAACCATAACACTAGATGGAGGTGAGGTCATTTTCATTCTCCTGTGTCTTTACCCCCGGAGAAACAGACTACAGTACTCATTGTGTTGCAAGGTGGGTGGCCCCCTACAAGGAATCGAACCCAGACTCTTTGGTCGTTTAGCTCATAGGTTAGTTGCTATACTGAGTGCGCTATCCAGGTTCTGAGCTTCTAAGTAGGAGAGTTAATTATATTATTTGTAGAATATAACTATCCAGCATTTATTCTATGCATTTCTGTGAATTTGCCCTAGAGCAATATTGAATCACAAAGTCTGCCGTTATTCACATAGGCCAGCCACCACACTGGTCTGGAGGATGAGCTCTTGCATGTGTGTGGCTACATTTTAAAGTCATTCTTCATCAATTGCAGGAACTCTGTATGCAAATGAAGCCAAAATACTGGAACCTAGGGTAGAAGTTCCCCACGGAATATTGGTTGTTATGGACAGTTACTTGTTCCCTGAGGAGCTCCTAGTAGGAAACCAAACAACAGTGGGCTCTGACACACCTGGACAAACAGCGGAATCTCTGATCACAGTTGCAGCTGGTGTTCCTTATAGCACCAGAAATGCCACCTTCCTAGAAAATGTAAATCAAGTGCTGTCATATCTCAAGAGTGGTGTAAGAGTTTTTCAGCAGTTCCTCAATAATTCCAGTGTTTCTCAGCTTCTGAAGGATGGTAAGATATGATACTCTGCTCAGGATAAATGTTACTAATTCTCCCACCTTCAACTCCATTTCCATTCTGTTCTCTTCATCTTATATTATTATCTNTTGGTCCTCCATGTATAGACACAACAGGGACCACATGTAAGACACAGGAAATAATTGCTCGACTTCAGAGTCATGAGGGAAAAAAAATAGTCCTGAGGGCCAGCAGCAATTTAGCTGATCCACATAAAACACAGCTTCCAGCAGTTCCTCTGTTGTTGCATGTTGATTTGTTGCTGCGGAAAGAAGTTTACTGTTGCCTAGCAATGGTAACCTCTTCTTTTTCGACTGTTCTAGCTTTCAGCAGTCATGTAACAGTATTATTTTTTTTTGTCTTTTTCTGTTTCCTTTCATCAATATTTGTTAATCATTATTTGCCTTTTATTTCCTTTCTCTTTGGGATGATCCTTATCTTAGTTGCTTGTTTATGAAATGCATACTGTGGTAATAGAAAATAAATGTTAAATTACTTCCTGAGTATTGACTTTTTCTAGTCTCTCTCTTCTTCCATGTTTGTGGTTTGTTTTATGACAGTATCTCAGATTACATAGTGCCAAATGGTAGTTCTGTGTTTAGAACTAATGTATGCATATGTGACATATTCTGTATCTGACTCTTATTATTAAAGCACTCATCAATAATGTGACATTATATTTTTAAAGTAAAAGACATCTAGAATATGTTTCTCACTGATGGCTTTGGTAGTCAATAAGGCTCTATGGAATTAAAGTAAAGATAAAGAACAGCTACAGATGAGTGGAGAAACAATGAACTGGAAAGAAGATGGAAGGAAGGAATTTTGGCCTAACTGAGATACAATCCAAGCATTTGTCTGGAGATACTGAGGAAAAGCACAAAAATCCTGAGTCATGGTAGCCTGTGTCAATAAAAATTTGAACCCAGCATCTCTGTGTTGCAGGAGTATATCGATTTGCTTTTCTTTTTTTGTCTCAAAATAAAAATCTTTGGCAAACAGAATCGTCACTCTCACCACTGACTAATTTGAGTGATAGATTAGGTAATGAAACTACATTAACTGAATGGACTTTGTATTACTAGGTAATGACTTTTCAGTTACATATTTCTTGTGAACTGGTACAAGATTGAAAAAATTGCTTTGACCTATTGTGATGCACAACTTTGTCAGAACATGCAATATTGTTGGGTTGCAAAACATGGACAATTAAATACTAATCATACATAATACTGCTGACTGACATGGGCCATCATCATCATCATCATCATCATCATCATCATCATCATCATCATCACGTTCTTAAACTTCTCTGTTTTCTTCATTACTTCCACAAGCCAGATTTGCAGCAGATTATGCTTTGTTCAAGAATGGATTAAATACCACAGTTTATGTGCTAAAGTTCCAGTATACTTGTAGTAATTTGGTGCCAGACTGGGCTACATTATGCAAACTTTAGCCTGTGTATTGGTACCACTATGATGAAATATCTTTGTGTGTCTACATGTGCTGGTAGACATTTACAGACCTGCATTTCTTGAAACTACTGTTATATCCTGGAAAATAATTACCTCAAATACTGATTTATCCAGCAGCTTCCCACATTGTGTAAAGCCTTTGTTTCCTCATTGCAAATGCTCAGTGTTTTCCTGTAATGTAATTGTTGCAATATTGAGTGTCTCTAAACCCACAGTTTATCAGAAAACAGTAATTATTGTGAGGAAACAAACAAAATGTTTAAGATAGTTTAGTTATTACAAAATTTAGCACAGGAAATGCATAGGCACATAGAAATTGAGTATTTATGATTGTGCTCTCCTGTGTTATAACATCACGCAGTTCAAAAAATTTGTGACCACGTACCAGTTGACATTGAACTGTATTCTAGAAGACAATCTAAAATCTTCATCATCTTGAAAATCTAAAATTTTAGAATATATACACGGGTAAATTGTTAAAATATTTCCCATTTCAAATACCATGATTAGGACCACTTCAGAGATTAATACAATGGTAATTTTCAGAATACGAAACTAAAAATGTCCAAAACTGGACTGGTGAGTTTTTGCAAAGCAGTAAAATAAAATGATTTACAATACACAAAATCTAATTACTGGTATATCCAGTATCAATGAAGCAAATGCAGCGCATTTAAATTCTTCACTATGAAAGGATATTAACAATGAGCCAAACTCTTCAGCTTTGGCAGTTTTAATGCTATCGACCTGAGCTGAACTAAACAGTACATGAAGCACTAAGAGTGAATAAAATTAAAATACCAGAATATTTATAGCAAAGAAATACTTATGAAAGCAAGTAGATGGAAATGAGAAAGAAACTTATCTTAACCAGACTCATTCTCTCAAGGGAATTTCAGAATTTGTTTTTTTTTTTGTACCAGGCATGACTGCCTCTCCAAATACTCGTATCTGTGTACAAATGGAATTCTTACATAACAGATTCTATGCTTTTCAACAGAGCTAAAGAGATTGCTTTAAATTGTCTTCTGAAATATGATTGTTACTGACAGTAACATTTACTAAACATATTTGGATGCTATACAAGAAATGATATGACAGAGTATGTGAAATTTGAGGTTCACATGATGGTGTCTGTGAACATTACCATTTTCTGCGATGTGACACTATGTAGACTGGTAGATGCTTGGCAGCATTTTGGAGGAATGCAAACATCTACAAGACTACATGGCGCCATGCCCCAGAAGACAGTAATCCTAATGATGTAATTAATATCTGAACATTAGTCATCAACCAACAAAGCAACCAACAAAGCAACCAACAAAGCAACCAACCAACCAACCAACCAGCCATCCATATTTTTCCATATTCATACTTATGTATATGAGCTCAAATACTGTAATTTCAGAGCCATAATATCTGTCACTGATGTGACTGACTATGGTGTGGGTAGTAACAGTGATGTTTAAATTTTCATTCACATCCATAATTTCTCTGGATCCAACCAACCGCCTTATCTAATGGCTAGGAGAGGCAAAGTTGCCAGATAGTGATGCTGATCAATTGATCATTCATGTCCATCTAGTGCTGAGCTAAGGAATATACAGAGCTTTGCTCTCATGCCTCCTTTATGTCCTTTTAGCATGGCATTTATGTATTCAAATATAATGTGTGTGTGTGAGGAATCGATTTTCACAGATTAATGATAGAAATCAAATTTTTCATTTCCTTTTTTACAAACAGCACTCATTGGTGCACTGTCAGTTGAATGTTTTAGGAACACAGCTTATATTTTATTTTGTTTATTGTACTAAGTGAAATGGTATGTTCCTAATATCCTGAGAACTAAGAACTACAAATAACTCATGAAATTTTGTTACATTGCAGGTGAGGAATATACGGTATTTGTACCCACAGATCATGCATTTCAACGCTGGCATCCAATTGACTGGGGATTCTATCCCTTCTCTGTGCCAGAATTTACTGAGGATATAATCATCAATCATTTTGTACAAGGGAATTGGAGGCAGGATACCATCCATGATGGTCAGAAAGTTAGAACCCTTGGAGGACGTGAGATAACATTTGGAAGGAAAGGTGAGAAATAAAACAATTTATATCTTTCAAGAGTGAAATATATGGTACTTTACAAGAATCTTAACGCCACAACTCGCCAACAGATGGCATTGCAGGGGGGGGGGGAAAACGAGTCTTAACGGATCCTGGACAAACCGTGTATGTGGATCAACGAATGAAAAGACTCCAGACTCTTCTGTTTCTTAAATCTTTCCTTTTCAATTTCTTGTCAGTTCTTTCGCTTCATCCTGATGTCTTCTAGCACCTTGCTGAAACATCTTGTTCTGTGTTTCCCATAGATCTCTTTGCTCCAAATTTAATTCAAATGCCCTCTTGGCTGCCATTGTTCTATCCAACCTTTCTACATTTCCAAACCATTGTTGTTGTTGTTTCCCTTTTACCTTTCTGAACTATCTTGTCCTGGGTTTTCCCATAGGCCCCTTTCCTCTAAAATTTAATTTTAATGTCCCTGGGCGGCATTGTTCTATCCAACTTTTTATTTCTAACCCACTGAAGTCTTTTCTCTTCCAACTTTATTAACAAATTTTGGACCCAATTTCTTCAGCAAAAAATTAATTTCTAATTCTGAATCTTCATGCTTTTCTGTGAATACTTCTCACAGTCTCATTGATATTAGTGATGGTGGTTAGAGTTGAGCCCAGAACCTATGGGTGCTAAACTTTTATGCTAATCTCTAGAAAACTGGGCATCAAAGCTTTGGTATTTGATGTGTTCTGGGTTCAGTCCTGCTCACAGCCATTAATACTGAAAATGGAAGCACTAAAATACTCTTGTCAAAATATTATATTGTAGCATCCTGTTGCACTTTTCACTTATCATTAATTAGTTCTACAGTCTTATGTGTAGCAATTTTTTGAAACTTATTAAAAGCTGTCACTTAAAAGTTTTTTCACGGCATGTTTTGACCAAAGTGGTTGTCATCAGGTGTCAAGTTGTAGGTGAGGAAACTGCTGTCTTTCTGCTTGATGCTTAGTCGTTGATACATGATTCCCCCAGTGCATATGTGTGTATTCCTTGTTGCTGTTTTATCTTCCCTGTCTTATTTCCATTATCATCTGATAATGATTGCTTTGGTCGAAAGATGTTGTGAAAAACTTTTAGTTACTAACTTTTGATAAGTTTTAATAAATTGTTGCACATAAGACTGTAGAATTAATTAACACTAAATTCCTGTCAAAATAATGATAACCAACCACCTGAACACAGGAGAGGAGGCAGAGTTCCAAGTAATATGTTATGTTTACAACTACTGTATCTCATACATTTGACAGTACCTAATGCAGTTGTGGAATAAGTTTGGCGTTCCCATTCAAGTAGCTCCTCAGTTATCCTCACGAGGCTAATTGTGCCCTGTTCCATACCCACTGCTTCTTAGAAAATCTGGTAGTGCTGGAAATCGAACACTTGACCTCTGGATATGTAGCTAGGAACTCTGACCACCAGACCACAGAGGTGGTCCCAACATCACTGGGGGACATAAATACAAGGACCTGGTCCATCAGGTTGGGGATTTGATGCAAGACTTATGATCCTGCTCTTGTGAAAACTTGTTGCAAAATCCAAAATAGTGAAGACTGGATCAAATGTGGCAGAATCTTCTAAGGAAGGCTATATCTTAAAAGGTGCTGTTTTGCCAGTAACGATAATAATGAATAGAAAGTGTGATGATCCTTGTGTGTCAGATATAAAGAAAACAATTCTTTGACCTTCAGCAATGAAAATGTTTGGCAGGCACCAAAAGTATAGACATAGATTAGTTGACAACGACGACGACAAGAAGAAGTTAATAATGCAAATCTCCCTTCTTGCAGGTGCCACGGATGTAAAAGATGCTGGTCGTCGTAACTCGGTTAGCTTCACAGTTAATGGAATACAGATTGTTAATGGAGACACTCCTGTAGAAAATGGGAACATAATGTTCATTGGGGAGATCCTGTTTGTGAATGAAGAAGTTGTAAATCGACTACACCAAGAGAACCGTGACAAAGAAACACCCCCACTCCTGGCATACACATCATTGAATTCCCCTTTCATCTCTCATGCTTATTTGGCCCTACAGAAGGACTCTAGATTCACACATGTCACTCGCTATATCAGCTTGGAAGATGTTGCTTCAGTCATCACAGGAGATGGTAAGGATTTGAGTTCCTTAAAAGAAGTATAAGAATGAAATCATGAGTGTAAACTTTATATCAAAAAATTATTTTAACTGCATTTTTCCATTGTCCTCACATGCATTTCCACAATTACATTTTCAACAGTTTTGAGCTCATATTTCCAGCATAAAGGTGTAAAACATGTAAGGTAAAAGAAAAAGGTAAGGCTATCCCTGTAACAGGCCGTGAAGGCCCATAGGGTTGTGAGATGTCGAGGCTCCCACATTTTCTCTAGACAACTGACTCACTGATGGTGGTAAGTTTGTCAGCCTTATGCACTAACCACCCTTTACATCACAGGAAGATTCCTGATACTCACAGAGGCGGAGATGACCCCAGGTCCATAGTGTGGCTGGAAGGATTAGGTAAATTGAAAAATCCACCTTCTGGCTTATAGAATAGTGTTGCCTGAACAAACTATGCTACTGTGTGCCCCATACAAACAATCAATCAATCAATCAATCAATCAATCTTTAAAATAACAAGCACTTACAGGATAAATTCCATTTTTAAGTTTCAGTACCCCAATTACAGTATCACCAACATGCATTCAGTAATGCATACAGACACAGACACATATATTCATTCTGAACTTAGCCCAATGAAAGGAACAAAATGAATAATGGAGGATAATTGCTTTTAACTTGGACTTAGCCCCACATTTTCACTCTTAGGGCATCTTGTAAACATTTCCCATCTAATTTATAAAAGTTCTAAACAAAGTTTATAATTTTTATATATAAAATTGTGCTGCCTTTTAGGATTGAAATTCTATTTCCAAGCTTGTAAAATTGAAAGAAAACAATCCTCGATTGCTTTTGTTTCTGAGAGGCAAGCCCCCTGAAATCGTGGCACATGCCCACTTCAGCATATCTGTTATACATGTATTTCCATGGCTGGTTTGTATGGTAGGATTTGTCAGTAGGTCCTAACTTCATGCTAAGTTCTAACAATTGAAATTTTGAAATCTGTAATATAAAGCAGCAGCATGAATTTGAGTTAATAATAAATGCACAAATAAATTTCTCTTTTTTTTTCCAGGTTACACTTTCTTTGTGCCAACAGACAAGGCATTCAAAGAAGTGGGTCTCGGAAGCAAACAAGATTTCTATCTCTCCAAAGGAGAAGGACTTAAATTGCTCCTTAATCATTTTGTGCCAGTCAGATTATACGATCGAGACTTGATAAATGGACGCCAATTTAAGACACTAGGTGGTAAGACAATTCACGTCAAACGTGAAGGAGGAAATGTAACAATCAATGATGCCGATATAGTTGAAAGTGAAGTTTTTGTATACAATCTTGGCACAATGTACTACATTGATAAAGTGCTCTTCATAACAAAGGAAGATATTCCTCTAGTAACTGAAGCATTTGAACCAGAGAGCTCAACTGCTTGGACAAGTGAACTACCTCATGATGTGGAAGCCCTGCCAAGTGAGTTGACAGAAGAAAGTGGTACACTGCCTGATATACTGCTGGAACCCGATAGCGACTCTCTAAGTGAAGATATTGACACAGTAATAAGTACCACAGCAAATAGACCTGGAAGGACTGAAGAGAATACTGATGGTACATATTCACCATCTGAATTTACTACAGGTTATGAGGAACATATACTGAGTGAAGGCACAACCACTGAAATGCCAGAAAATCAAAATTCTAGTACTGGAACTTCTTATTCATCCACTCCGTTAAAGTGAGTCAATGAGTTCTGAAGTGTATTGCATATAAACAAGTACAAATTTTGTCCCAGTTAAAATGTTTCAGAACAATGCACAGAATGTTGGAAATATAAAGAATTGTTACTTGTTGAGAGACACTCTCAGGGGGGAGAGAACCAGAGGGATAAATTACCTTAAATACCAAGTTAAGAAGTTCTCAATCAAACGTCTATCCATGATGATTAAGAGACAGTGATATGATTCAGAAATCTGAAAGTGCTGTGTGAGCATATAAGAAAATTAATAAAACAGTTAAGATCTATTCGAAATACCACTATTAGAAAGAAGTAGACCTGTGAAATATAATCTCGACTAAGAAAGATCATGTTCAGTAAATGGGTATCCTAAATTGAGTAAACAGCCTGAATATAGAATAAATTCCAATCTGATCTATCATGGCCAGTTTATGTTCTCTTTCATTATCGTAATGGTATATATGAAGGCCCAAATGCACATATAAAGCACCAATTCCAGTAGCATACTAAAGGAAGAATCTTTTGGGTTGTAAGCTGGATGTCATCTCGTTGCCTACTGCTGGGTGTCACTTTCCCTCTATGACTGCTCTTTCGCCCTACGTTGTGGGTTGGGTGCCATTTACTTGTGTGGTTATCTCGTCGCTGGCTGCTGGAGCTGCTGCTGGTGGGTTGTGGCTACAACTTGTTTAACTCTGATCACCCCTCATCCTTCCCACCTCCTCTTCTGGTTGTCAGATAATTAGTAAAAGGTTGGGCACCAGTAAACTTATTGGAATTCATTTACAATTTTGGTGGAGAAAGGGGGGATGAATAAGGATATGCTAGTGGTGAGGCGCTAGTTCAAGTTGATAGAGATGAGAGTCAGTCTCAGAGCGTTTAGCAGGGCCTTGCTTGGTCGGGGGAAGGGAGCTCTTTCCACTATGTACACAACACTTGTTCACAGAGGCACTTTATTGAGCGGTTAAACACTGGTGAACACAGCACTCTAGATTATACCTACTTTCTTTATTTAGGATTCCACTGGTTCCTGTAGAAGTACTTAAACAGCTTAAGTTTCCAAATGGATCCCGGAGATACTAAATTTTACACAAAGCTGAATCAATAGTCAGCTGGTAGTTCCACTCTGTCCTGTCTGTGAGTCCTTCCACTCCTGTACTGTACCATCGAACTCTGAAACATCATAAACAATAAGTTGTGCTCCCACTCCAGGCTCCCGTGGCCCATGTGGTGGCACCAAATCATCAGCAATCTTATGCAAACAACCACTACCACAGAACTATAAGATTTATTTTGGACTCTATCCATTGTCTGGTATATATAAGACAAAAGCCACAACGTTTCAGAGACTGGATCTGTCTCCATCCTCAGGTGGATGGGGCAAGATAGACCTACTCAGTTGGGCCCGTTAGAAGAAGCTAGTCCAGTGATTGAGACTAGCTCTTTCTAATGGGCCCAACCGAGTAGGTCTACCTTGCCCCATCCACCTGAGGACAGAGACAGATCCAGCCTTCGAAACGTTGTGGTTTTTGTCTCATATACGATACCAGACGGTGGAAGAGTTCTGTGCAGCAACCACTACCACGCTTTTAATGGATTTCTTCTGACATTCTTTCCAGCTCCTTGAGTGATTGTGTATATTCATTCTTAACCCTAGCCACAGCTTGATGCAATGCCTCTACTCCTTTTGTGTTGCAAGTTGACCCTGACACAATGCTTTCTCCTCAAAGTTAGGGGCGTGATTTGGTTATGCTATGGTGAAGACGCTTACCCAAAGTGGAGATACTAAATTTTACTCTAAGCTGAATCCATAGTCAGTTGGTAGTTTCACTCACTGTTCCAACAACCATTTACATGAAGTAACTTAACAGAATTTCTAACTGAATATATAGTCACACTTATGGAGATACACATTTTGCATCTGAACAATTGGTGAGCTGTAATACAACTAACTTAACAGAATGACTTCTCAAAGCTACAAGTCCTGACCTCTTTGTATCGGTCCACAAGTCACCTCCTTGAATTTCGAGGATTGGTCAAATTTGAACAAGGGGAGTTTACTTCATTTGATATTCCTCCAATCAGTTGCAAATTTCAAAGGATTTTGGACTCTAATAACCTAATGTAACCTTTGACAGTAGTTTGATGAATTCTGCCAGTAGCGTGGGCTGTTGGCCCGCCTCTCTTTGACTTAGGATGTTCAAAAACTGTCAGATCTCATGTTCTGAAAGAATTCTGAGAAGCACAATTTTATCAGAATTTCTAGGAAAAAGCTGTAAGGGTCCTTCCTGTCTCCCTTTGTAGCTCTGTAACGAGCCACTTTCTTAAATTCAAGAATCGAGCTGTCGCCATCTTGAGAGTAAGAATTGGCCTATGTCCCTCATACAGGTAAATATCATCTAACAAGGTGATTAACACTAGTAAATAAATGTTCCTAATTTAAAATCTGAGCCGGGTTGACAGTATGGTTACAGTAAGTAGTGGACACCCAAATTATATTGTACTTGTTCTTTCTGTTCAGGTCCCTCTCTATTTGGATATTCTTTAAGTCATATTTTCAATTGATGTACATAATCATTCATAAATATAGTGGACTTTCTAACTATCCCATTTATTTAATTTCTTAAAATAAGTCCTTGTAACTGGTATTTTATATTTTTTAAATATAACTGTGTAACAAACAAAAAATAGGTACCATATGTGAAACTTCACGATTCTTCAAGCACAGTTTCTTTCAGTAAATAGGAGATTTGCTATATTTTCTGCAAGATAATGAAAAAAAGAATATGTCATGATAAATATAAAGGAACTGCTGTGTAATACTCCGAACAGAAATTGTCAAGAAGATAACAGCATAAGTAATCATATAGAGGCACTAAATGTGAAACAGTTTCCTATATTATAACAAGTGAGTGAACACAAGTGACACTGAAACTTTTATAATACAAAATAAGTGACATTCCTCTAAGTTGCATATTATACATCACAAAATCTATAAGTTAACAATGCTCTATTTCAAAGATGTATTTATAAATGAGAGTCAGCCTAAGCAAAACATTCTTTTAAGATACCGATATTGCAACATTCTATCTTAAACTACAGTGTGATCATTGCAGAACTTCCTGCAAATCATTTAGCTGCTCAGATGGAAGTGTCTGATGTTGCTTCTGTCCAGTCAAGTTGCAGAGACTCAGGCTGCTAAATAAATGAACAGATTCATTGCCTAATACATTACAAATGAAACGTTGCTATATTTAAGCAGATGCTGGAAATGTTCTCTGTCGTTAATGCACATGTTCCTGGTATCACCATATAACATTTACATTCATGGACTCAAATTCTGTTTTTGGAAGAAGAGTAAACTTGGAGTATTAAATTTGAAACCCTGGTGTGCTGTGCAAACTGTCTCAGAAATTTTAGACAAAAATGTTCAAGCCTAGGACGAATTTCATCTACTAAA